AACATCTGTGGGAAAACCTTTCGTCAGAATTCGACGTTGCAAACTCATCTAAGAATCCACACAGGTGCGAAACCATATTCTTGTAGCACCTGTGGAAAAAGATTTAGTCATATTAAAAACCTGACAACTCACTCAAGAATTCACACAGGTGAGAAGCCATATACTTGTAGCACCTGTGGGAAAAATTTCAGTCAGTTGACTCATTTAAAAAGTCACATGAGAATTCATACTACCCTACAAAATGTGGCAGAGTAGGAGTGTGTGACTGTTAGAATGCATAGTGAGGAAAATCACAGCTACACCTGAGGGGAAAAAAGATGACCTTATATTCTGGTCAGTATGGAATAGCTTTTAATAATAGTCATTCAAGTTGGCTGTGTTTTTGTTCTGATGTAATTGGAAGCCCAGTTTTATAAAGGGTCTCAAATAAGCCAGTTTTTAGAACATTTCCTACTGAACTATCTTCAATATGTATTAACATTTCACGGTAGAAATTTTAAACCTGTATAACCAGTCCTGTGAAATTTTAGCTTCATATATTAAACAAAAACAAAACAAAAAGTTATATGTTTTAAGTTACTTTCAAAACTTAAATGGTTTCTAACTAAGTCGTAAAGTGATAATATTCTATTTTCATTCAGCTTTCAAGCATTTGAGCAAATACGATAAATGTTTTAACAAAAACAAAAATATCCGTAAAGAGTTTAATCTGAATAGAACAAGTTTCTAGATGGTTGTGTAATTACAACTCAGAAAATAATTTCATTAGATATTTGCATGTTTCTCCTAGGACCTGCCGTCCACATATGTGGACATCACATTTTGGGTTATTTAGACCAAAATACTAAATTTTGCTCAACAATGGCCTGATATCCACTAATGAGGACATTATACTGCTACTGTTCTATCGAAATTTTAAACAAATATCCTCATATGTGGCTCTCATTTTTCTTAGAAACAAAAATCAGGTAAAAAAAAAAATCTGGTAATTCTTTGTTTTTACATTCATCAGGTCCCAATATGCCCCGATATCAAAGATAAATTAAAAATGCATGCCGTGGAAGAGTTTGGGTCTAAGGAGGTTAATCAAATCATTAAATCTGATTTTTATCAAAACAGAAAGTTTCTGTTGAGCCTTCTCCAATTTACATAACAATGTTATGTTTCAAAGTGTGGGCATATTTTCCCTCTTTTCATATTTTAACAAGAATTATCAGAGTTGTCCAAAAGCAGTATTTTTTTCCTCTTCTGCCTGTCAGCTTAGACATTGTCATATTATAATATACTATGTTACATATAATCTAATAACTGAAATAACACAAATAAAATGATGAAATAAGCCAATAAAAGAAACATAAACAAGAGGAGCCTATCCGGTTGTTCAGTGATGACGCGACGAATCCTACTTCCGGGTCTAAAGTAGTCTGCGTTTAATATGGCTTTTGTGTTGTTAACATGTTTAATGTTATGTATTTTCTTCTATTTAATCTCAAAAAGCTCCTAAAACAGTCAGTGATCCCTGTTGACCTCCCTCGGCTTTTATTACCGCTAATCATTTATTTAAGCTCAGTTTTTAAAACCTTAGGATGTAACTACAGCCCAGCCCATGCAACAGTATATGAATGACTAACCTCGTATTGTGGATGGATTATCTCAGTTGTTCTCCTGGCTGAAGTTTGGTCCTTTTACAGCATCCTGCCATGCGATTACATTTGTTTCTGACCACCGAGAACACTCACGTTAACTTTTATCGAGTGGAAAAAAAGTTAGCTTGTTTATATTATGCTAACATAGCTGTGTCGCTAGCGGTCACGTAGCACATCATTATATACCAGCTAGCCCAACTTCAGTAACCCTACAAGCGTCACTGCTGTTTAGTTTTCTGTCTTCATTTATGTTGGAAGTGATAGCAGAGCTGTACGTTTTAATTTGTTTCCAAAACCCCGCAGTCAGGACATGCTATATTGTATTTAGATAGAAGCTAGCGAGCTAACTCCCTGCTAACTTCTAACTCCGTTAAATGTCATAAATTCCGTTTTCATGGATGCCTGGATGTTAAACTCAATTGTTACACCTGGTAGAGCAGAACGCTGATCATTTTATTAAAGATGAAAGACTTTAGACAGTTTTTCAACTCTCAGTAATGCCACAGTGATCGTTTGATATATGGACCTGCAGCGGAGTTTAGACCCAGACACGGCTAGTGACGTCAGACTGAACAACCGGATAGAGACTTCATGGAATGTATCTTGGAAAAGCTACATATGTTTGGCACAAAAGTGATTTTTACACCATAATTCGTATTTTAAAAGCTGCTAGACTGGACAGGATTTAATTTCTTAAAAAGCATCAAATTAAATTTCTATAAAAACAAAAAGTTTCTGTTGAACCTTTTCTAATTTGAATAAAAATGTTCAGAGTTGTGTAAGCAGTAGGACTCAAAATGGTAGGTAGGTAGAGTAGGGGGGGGAAAGGGCTGAAAGTGGGTCATTGGACCATTTAAAAAAAAACAAAAAAAAAAACTATTCAATATATGAAACTAAAATTTCACGGCAATCAGTATAAATGTTTAAAATTTCTACTGTAAAATTTTTATGCAAATCTGAGATGGGCTAGCAGAAGTCTTTGTTGATTTGACACAGACTTACCCAGAAGTCAACAAGTAACATTTATTTTTTAGTTTATGAATAGCAGGTTTACTCTTCAGCTTCAGAAGCTTTTATAAGTGCTTTGAAGTCTGCCATGGAGACAAAGTTCCAGCTTGAATATGCTCTGAAGGTTATTTCATCACTGAGATGGAAAAAAAGAAAATATTATTCTACTAATTTCATCCTAGTTTTAAATATGTTTTAGTTTGATATTTTTATTAGCCACTAAACAGGTTACACTACATAAGATTAAAAACTGACAAAGATCAAGAAACACATAACATATTTTTTTTATGAACATTAGTTATTTTGTGGTGATATTTATTTTAATGAAGACTAAACTTGATTTTTATCCTGTCCTGTATATTTAATCTCTCGCACTGTTTCTTTGTGATGTGGGTCATTTATTGTAAGATGTCAACACAATCTAATTAAAACTTGTGTCGAATAATATGGTTTAATGTGTGATCTTTAAAAAAAAAAAAATTGAACCAGCCCTGTGTGCCATATTTAATGTCAAAGTAAAGTTGTTGAACGAAGATCAACTTGACCAACTGAAAAACTGATCACTGTCACAAGATGGCAGTAATTTAAAGTTTGCAAATAGGCAAGACGCTTTATGACAGAATGCTGTTTGAGATGCAAGAAGAGAGATTGTGGCCACTCAGATTTTAGATCATATGTGTTCATAGATTTCACTGGGCACGTACTGCCTGATTTGCTTGCCCTGACAGAAAGTCACTATCAAGTTTTTTCTCTCCTGTTGGCTCTTTTTCGTCACTAATAGGGGATGTTCTTTATTGTAATCTCAGGCACTGTGTGTGTGTGTGTGTGTGTGTGTGTGTGTGTGTGTGTGTGTGCGCGCGCACAGAAACCCTCCCCTCCTGCAGTTCAAACCCTTTCAAGACTCAAACAAATAGAAGAAAACGGGAAACTGGGAGAAAAATTGTTTCAGTGACCAAGAGTAATACTATCATCAAAATATGGAAAGAAAATCTAAGCTTTACTAGCATATTTATTAACGCTTTCACGCGTAGTGGTCACTACAGTGGACAGCTATTCAAAGGCTCTTTTCTTGGATTTGTGTCAGTGTTAATGGTATACTTAAACTTAAAAATGAAGTTCAAAAATCTTTTTTTCATGCCTAAAGATGAGTGAAAATCCAGATTGAGGTTGTCATAATTCATGCATGAAAGGTTAATCATAATCATGGTAAAATGTTCATTGATCATGATTTTGATTTGAAGACATACTCCCAAGCCATACTCTGAAAGATCAATGAAGCCTACATTTGCACAACTCATCAAGCACAAATTATCAATTACAACACAACGGGGGGGAAAAACAATATATTAAACAAACCCAAGTGTAAAAGAAAACATAACTTGCAGCTCATGTTAACTCAGACAAGTTCCAGGTGTTACAGTTTATTCATAAAGAAAGAAGGTTAAAGTTCACTGACCAGAAAAAAACAACTCTTTGTGTGGATTAATGGGAAAACCCCAAAGTGGATATTTTCCTGTTTGGTTAACCTAAAGCCACTTTAAACCTTGTTGATTAACGGAAAAACATGGGACTAAGGCCAACATTTTGACAAAAAGAAACAAAGTTTACAAAATGAAGGACCAGAATAAAGACACACACTCAAGTCGCATGGAGTCGCATTACTCGTGTTATTGGTTGATTGTGATCAGGATGATTCCTGGATGAATCTCTGATCAAGTAATTTTGTTTGCCCAGTTGAGCAACATGATTATGGGGGACCACAAGAGCCACACACACCCCCAAAAAATTTTATGCTGCAATTTTGAATTGTTAGTGCAATAAAATGCATTTGCAAATTCAGTTACAAATGTATTTTTTAAATTATTTTATTTATTTAAACATTGCAAAAGTAACTTATTATTCAATAATTACATTTTAAATAAAGACTATTTATAAATCAATATTTCAAAATGATTTATTAATCCATTGATAAATACGTCAAATCGAAAATGGATTTCACAAAAAAAGAATTAAACTCTCAAAAAAACCCTAATTTGACAAATGCCATTCGGCAGCTGTTTCTACACTCTGCCCAACACGGATATGTGAAGAATGTGAAAGGACTCTGCTGTGAAATGGAGAGCCAAATCTCTGAGTCTTTGCCTGCGGACAGCCTGACCACCTGTTAACGGTAACATTTTAACATGGCTAATGTTGGCACCACTGCATGTAGTGCCACAATTTTTTAAGTTAAAGAGTTTTTCCTTCCCACTTACACCAAGTTGTTGTTTATAGAAGGACATGTGACTGTTGGCGTTTTCTCTCTATTACTGTAGGGACTTCACTTTACAACTCAGAAAAAAGCCATGAGTTTAAAACACATCTTTATTTAAACCTTATAAAACTCAAAACCCTTCAGCATCTTCTGAAGTTTAATTTTCATGAAAATGAACATCAAGTTCATAATGATATATTTGTGTCTTCTGTGTGACACGTCCCTGCTTTTAATATTGTGCAGTGAAACCTCTGAACAACAGAGAAATTAAATATTTGCCATAATAAGCAACAAGTGACAAAAAAAAAAACTTATATAAGCTTCTTTCTCTATAACAAAGCTGTTTAGTGGAACAAGTTTATCTACAACTTGTGCTTGTCACCTCTACAGCCTAAAACAATAAAAATATGAAGTCAGACAAATATAAAACCAGAGTTTCCCCTGCATCATATGAATAAGACAATTAATAGAATAAACAATTGTTACAGTTAGTTATTGTGTAAAATAAATATATGCCGTATTGAGCTGAATAATACCTGTGGGATAATCATATTTTATCCCACAGGTGTGATTTGCACTGTCATTGCTCGCTCTACTATTAACACACATGCTACACTGACACATTTCTTAAACAGGAAACATTTAACCAGTCGTCATGTGAATTGTCATGTGAGATTTCATGTTCGTAACATTACGGAATCTTTTCCCACAGGTACTACACAAATATGGCTTCTCGCCTGTGTGAATTCGCAGGTGGTTTTGCAACTGTGCCAACTGAATGAAACTTTTCCCGCAGGTGCCACACGAATATGGCTTCTCACCTGTGTGAATTCGCATGTGAGTTTTCAATGTTGATAATTCTCTAAATGATTTCCCACAGGTGCTACAAGAATACGGCCTCTCACCTGTGTGTACTGTCATATGTCTTTTTAAACCGGACAGGCCACAAAATCCTTTCCCACAGGTGCTACAAGAAAATGGCCTCTCACCTGTGTGAGTTCTCATATGCCTTTTCAGGTTTTGCAGCTGAATGAAACCTTTCCCACAGGTGCTACAAGCATGTCGCTTCTCACCTGAGTGAATTTTCATGTGATTTTTGAATCCTGTTAAATTACTAAATCTTCTTCCACATGTAGTACAACAATATGGCCTCTCACCTGTGTGTATTCTCATGTGAATTTTCAAGTATACCATTGTAGCGTAGCTTTTCCCACAGGTGCTACAAGAATGAGGCTTCTCACCTGTGTGAATTTTCATGTGAGTTTCTAGTCCTGATTTATAAGTGAATTTTTTCGCACATGTGTTACAAGAATATGGTTTTTCACCCGTGTGGATTCTCATGTGTTTTTTGCACTCTGATGAGCTAATGAAGCTTTTCCCACATGTGCTACATAAATATGGTTTCTCACCTGTATGGATTCTCATGTGAATTTTTAAATTTGGTGTCTGGGTGAATCCTTTCCCACAGATGCTGCAAGCAAATGGTTTCTCGCCTGTGTGACTCCTTACGTGACATTCCAGTGATGATTTCTTTCTGAAACTGCTCCCACAGATCCTACAAGAATAAGGCTTCTCACCTGTGTGAATTCTCATGTGAACTTTCAAGTTTATCATATGCTTGAATCTTTTACCACACATGCTACAAGAATGGGGCTTTTCATCCGAGTGAACTTTTATATGACTTTCCAAATCTGATTTCTTGTAGAATTTTTTTCCACAGGTGCCACACAAATGTGGCTTTTCACCTGTGTGAATTCTAAGGTGGCTTCTGAAGGGTGATGAGAAACTAAATGTTTTCCCACAGGTGCTACAACAATATGGCTTCTCACCTGTGTGGACTCTCATGTGACTTTTCAAGTTTATCATCTGACTAAATCCTCTCCCACAGGTGCTGCAAGAATGTGGCCTCTCACCTTTATGAACTCTTAGATGTCTTGTCAAAGAGGATTTATAGTAAAAGGTTTTTCCACAAATGTCACATTTTACAGAGTTTTCACATGTTTCAGATTTACGCGACAGTCGCTTATTTCTGTTTATCTGAGGTCTTTTCTTCAGCTCTGCATTTCTAGTTGATTCCACATGCTTGCTTTCTTCCTGCTTCAGTACAAGATGCTCTCCCTTTTGACTGGTGCAGAGTTCCTTCTGTTCCTCTTTCATCTGTGAAGGGTCATCATTGTTTATACTTGAGTTCATCTCTTGATTAAAGTCCTGCTTGTCTGTGAGAACCTCCTCTTTACAGTCATGCTGTTGTGGGAAATCTGAAAGGAGAAACATAACAGGAAAACACACAATTGAGAAAATATAATCCTAACTATTAGCAGGTCTTTACTTTGTGAGCATGTCACTCACATTTACCAATGAAATTTATTCTTCAGTTGTGGCAGATCATTTTGGACACTGGTGCAAGTGACTGCATAGTTCTTGGATTCTAATTTGCAAAAATTATCTCAATATTTCGATGTTTGTGATTATCAAACTGTAGAAATATATCTCTCATTAGCTGGCTGGTTTTACAAACCTGTGCTGCGTAAGTTTATTTCTGGTTTCCACATGTTATCCAGGAGTCTGAGCTGTTCTTCCCCGGTCCAGACGATGATGTCTTCAGCTTCCTGCTTCACTACAAGCTGCTCTCCCTCTCGACTGATGCAGAGTTCCTTCTTTTCCTCTTTAATTGGAGGAGGATCTGGGTCCTTTTGGTCCAGGCTGTTGTTCCTCTCCTGGTCATCCAGACCCTCCTCTTTCTCACAATTCATTTTGTTGTGGGAGGTCTTGAGGAACAGTGGGACATAAGAAAAATGTTACCAATATGATGACAGGAAAATACAGTTGTGAGCAAAGGCTGCCATACCTGGATGTGACATGTTCACTCTATCTGCTGTTTAACACGTTAGTGACTTAGAAAACACATTCATGTTAACTGCCGCCGTTTGTCACAGATTAACATGGGCACCAGTCTGCTCAACAAGATGTAATATTGTGGCTTGACTTACTGCGCCAGTCTGCACGCCAAGATACTAAACCCTAGTTTATTGTGAATGTTAGTGCTGTATAATGAGCAGTCCATTTACATGATTTAATGCTGGAAACAGTCTATTTTGTCCTAACAGAATGTTTTTATTTCAGGATATAACCTGAGGCGCTAACTGACAGGTGATCTTTGTCAGTGCATGAACATGTGCATTGGTGAGTTCAGAGCACTGCAATGATCAGTGTATTAAATGAAGCTGCAGGGCAGATGTGGTGGATCTTATGGAAATAATCTATTGTAACAGACCAACCTACAGATTTTTATCAGAATAATGTCGCTCCTGCCTTTGGTTCTGGTTTGGTCTGCGTCAGTCAGTGCTGGATGTCTCAAAAACAGCTCTTTACAATCAGCACACGTGGACTTTATTTTCTTTGCAGCTTTGCAGGAGCTGAGTCTTCTAATGTCTGTTACTGTCCTGTATACGCTCAGCGTCTGAAAGAAGACTCCATCATAGCTCTGTCTGAATGTATACAGTTATTATGCTCACAAGCTTGTGCTTGCTGCTCACTGTGTGGGAGAGCCTGCAGGTTCAGACAGAGGGAGGCTATTTTGGCCCCTTATTATTAGTTTATACAGGCCAAACATAATGTTGCAAAAAAAAAAACTCGTTTAAAAATTCACTTTCGGAACACCTGCCCCCGCAGGCGGCCGCGGGCTGAGGGACAAAGAGCCGATGGTAGCACAGTGCTGATAACAGAAGCTTCCTGTCACCGACTCTTTGATTTTAATGTATAAAAACCAGCTTATAGTAAAGTCACTCTCCCCTGTATCTTATCGGATGCTATATGCTAAAACCCTTCATTTAAAAACAAGAGGAGGACTTGTGTTATTTCTATAAAAACCTAGCTCACACCGGCTCATTGATTTCAGTCCGTTAGCATTCAAACTGAGCTCGTGCGCGCTATGTTAGCTCATTGACACCGTCACAGTTTTACACACCTGTTATGTGTCACTCTATCTCAGCTGTCTTCATATCCTGCAGTCTGCTCTGATGGTTGATCTCCCCCTCATACCGCACGATCGATTTTTAACCACCGGTAGTCTCTAATGTTGACAAACTCTCTGAAATACGGAAATGACGCCTGAGCACTGACAGTTGCGTCACTTCCGCCCTTCGCCGTTGGATTTTGGGCAGATTAGAGGCATCAAAAGCCCACACACACACCCCTCCCCCATGACTAGACATCAGCTTTCTTTGATGTTAAAATTCAAATGGTTTTGTGGTAATAAAATGTCTATAAAATAAGGGAAACAATCTACGTACACCTGCTTACATTTCTTACTGTGTTTAGTTCTGGGGGATAAATTTAAATGGCAAAAGAAGAATCATACGGAAATTAACTCAAAGCTGGCAGTCTGGAAATGATGGTTTACCCATAATTGTAATAATGAGATCAAAACTCTTAAAGTCCCTTTCGAGCACAGAGTTAACTGAACGTAATTGAATGATGTCATGTGATGGATTTTATAGCCAAAAGTACCATCAGGCTCTAAGTGAGGACACACAAAAAAATAATGTTTACTTAAAGTGTCTGACAGTTATAGAAAGCTACTGCATTCATAAAGTGTTTATCCAGTTTTATGGTAATTGTACGGAGTATTTTAATTCATACTACTTTATACTTCAACTTCACAACATTTCAGAGGAAAATAATCGTTTTATTCCAGTGATATCTGACAGTTTTAGCTTTGAGTCTTTACACATCATGCTTCATACAAGTATCCCAAATGTCGTAGTGAAATTTAAAGATACAAGTCACAAAATAAAAGCAGGTTACAAAATAGTAACGATTTGTCTTTCCCATGAATCATCTTAAAACCATTCAGATCTCATCTTCTGACCTTTTCGAGGGTCCTGATTCCATAGTTTGGGAAGCGCTGAACTGTAGTAGTTATATATTAGTAGTATTTAACTGACAGGGCATATGCAGAATGAGTTATTTTACTGTAAGTGCTACTCTTGTAGTAGAGAATTTTGAAACTGTGGCACTGGTTTCAGACTAAAGTACAGTTGTAATTTTACCTCAAACAAAATGTCAGTATACTTCAATAGTGAATGACTAAACAGGGAAGCGGTTTCAGACTTAAACTGCAGTTTAGCTTTTAAGGTCAAAGGTGAGATCTGATGAGGTCTCAGCACTCGAGGTCGACCATCCTCTCAGGCCGGGCTGACTGGCATGTGCTCGGTGGGGTGAAAACGTTGGGGTCGCTGATTCCCAGCTCCAGGCTGAAGAAGCGGGTGGAGGTGGTGACACTGCTGTTCCTCGTGTAGGTCTCCTGCACTGGGTAGCAGTCCTTCATGGTGTAAACGCCCACCCAGGTCTCATCTGGTGGAGAGACGAGGACAAGTTACTGAAATAGCAGATTTCAGATGAGGTGCCAGCTCTGCCTTTTCAGAAGCAGCACACAAAAACCAAAAGTTTTCTCACAGTGGGTAGTGGGAGTTGTGGCTGTATTGGCAAATCATTGGAGAATGTCTTGTAGTAACCCCTCTCAAACCAATAAAAACAATCTTCCCAAATTTTGGATCAACCACTCTTACCTCATCTCCACCACCATGGCTCCAGTGCCTAATCTAAAACTGTACCAAGAAAAGTGCAGTCAGATTTTGGATGTAGGAAGAATCTGACTGGGAACGGCTTTCTTTTCAGCATGACAGTGATGAAACACACTGCCAATAAAAGCATATTTGGATAGAAAAAAAAAACACTTTCAGTCATGGACTGGCCTCCACAGAGCCTGAACCTTAATATTATTAAAGCAATGTGACAGAGAATGGAACAAAAAGCAGCCAACATCCACAGAAAAGCTTTGAATGTCCTTCAAGACGTCTGGAGAACTTTTGCTGAAGATTATTTAATAAATTACAAGAAAGTTGCCTAAGAGAGTTCAGAGAGTTCAGGCTGTGTTGAAGAATAAAGGTGGTCACACCACATATTGACTGTCAAGCCATCCTTTCAACTCCTTATACGCCTATATACTGTTTATTACATTTTCCTAGATAAATATAAAGGAACAGTACTGCACAGTACTGTATATTAGTGTGGGGTAGTTAACGAAAGGATGCATGTAAAATGTAGAATTACTCTTTTTCGTGGAAAAGAAGTCATTTAGAAGCTACAGCCACTCTCATAATTCAATAAAACCACAGTGAAAGGGCTTATTGTTATTATAAAGCAGCTGCAGGACGTGCTGAATTTACGCTAACACTGACCTAACTCTTCAGCACTCACTATGGCCTGTTTGAAAGCATAAAAATCTCAGACTTACGTTTGCGTGCCGGCTTCCTATCTGACCACTCCTGAACCTCAATGCTGTCCCCAGGGCCGCCGATGAAGTATTGATCCTCAAAGGTGGAGTTATCAGGGACGTCGAAGGGATCCCAGGCTTCAGTCAGAGCGATCTTTGAGCATTCCTTCGTCTTCTGGTCAATCTGGAACATCACCATGCTCTGATACAAGTAGATGTACTCAAAAAACCTGAAACAAAGAGGTTAAAGAAGTTTTTGGATGGGACTGTGCAGAGGACAAAAGACACAGAGAGCGGTGTATAAACACAAACAGTGGGAAAAAAAAGATCAAATAGATATTGCTTGACTCATAGTTTTGAACTGTGAAAAAAAGTCTCACCACCAAGCATCAACCTACGGAGCTAAAAGCCAATCTCAAGATATCAGAAATTGTAGTTCCCCTAATGTCCACTAGAGTCCGGCTCCACAGCTGAGTCATTCTGCACAGACTCCCAGGTTCAAATGACCGATTTTACAGTAGAACTAATCATGTTTACAGCCTGCTACAAACCCATTTTTGGTGTCTATGGATAGTTTTCCCCTTGATGAGAACTCTACAGAGGCTGATTTAACTGGAATGTGTTTTAATCATTTCTATGTTTGGCCTCAGCTCCAGTAAATCCAGTGAAAGAACCGGAGCGCTCCACTGTGTTTGTCCTGTTGGTGCCTTTTGGAGCATTTTTAATAAATTATCTAACAAATCGTATATCCTGGTGTTTAAGAAGTTTGTGCTTCCGTTTTGGTAAAGTCTAATATTTTATTAGTCTGTTACTTGCTGGATCTGTGTGATAACACTGCATGCTCTCATCCAAACATGGTCACATCCAGTTGAAGCAAACCACCTGAGCAGTGGCCAAAACATAAAACATTCAACATTCAAATCGCAGAATCCAAAACCAGTGGGCAACATCGTGGCTCCTACTTCCATTTCTTATGCACAGAAACTATAGGGCATCTATTTCGGCAGCAAGAAAACTGTCCAAGAGTTTGATAGTGTCTCTGTCTTCTAAAGTCTGAAGATGGTTACTTTTGGCAGGATAGTCCTCTGTGCCCAAACCAAACACTCCAAAGTCGCTCTGTGGCCTCGTTTACCAGCCAGGGAACATTTCACAACTCCAGACTTTAGTCCAGGCTGAGAAGTGTTCAAACAGACTGTTTATGACCCTTTTTAGAACACAAAAATGCAAAAAACTAAACAAAACATTGTTTTATAGATTAATAGTACAGTTATAAGTCAGTCTCTGATGTGTTTTTTAATCTGATCTTTAGCACTGATGTGTAACGCATGGGAAAATAATTTATCCATTAATCGAATATGACCTTTATAATCATTATTACTACTACTATTATTACTTTTTGTAGTGTTTGCAGTATAAATAACTATGGGTGTAAATTATGGGTTGGTTTTGTGAATAAAAATACATATAAACTATAAAACAAAGCCGATCTTACAGAAAAGAAGAGCTTAAAGCTGGGACCAAATCCATTATAAATCAGCTTTATTAATGATTATTAATGATAAATGGAGTGATGCTTATATAGATGATTTGGAGATTATTAAGCGCAGATTTACAGCTGCAGCTTGTTTTGTTGTAACTCTTCACACTGACTGTGTGCAGTAATAAAACGCAGTCTGTAAACAACATGTTTACTTTGTGTTTATTTACTGGTCTTACCTCTGACACGGGGTGTGCTTCTTGTGCTGCTGCAGGACTCGGATCCTCTGGTTCAGGGCGTCGTACGAGACGGCGGCTCGGCTGTTCCTGCCGGTGCTGTGGTCGTACACAACCCACCTTCCCTCCCACTGCAGCGGGGCGACGCAGGGCCGGACCGCCGGGGACGCATCCATCCGCGGGAGGACGAAGACAGAGGCCCCAGCAGCGGCCACAAACACGAGCAGAAGTCGGTGCATTGTGCCCGAGTCCCGTTCACTACTAACAGCCCGGCAGATCCCTAGAATAAAGAGGAGATGGTTTTCCGGTTTTATCTTTCAAAATTAAAGCACAGGTAGTTAACATTTTCCTCCAGATATTACAAAACAAGCACATAATGAGGAAAATATAGACACTTGTTTCCGCCACTGAAACAAAAAAATAAAATAAAATAAAATTCAGATTTAAATAGAAATTTCGACTTATTATCTGAAAATTTTAGTGACTGAAACTTCTGAATAAGTTGATTTCAAGATTCTTAAGTCGAAAATTTAAGTTAAAAAGTCACAATTTTGAGAGACTGGCCTTAAATTTAAAATAAATGAATAAAAATCTGTTGGAAAATACTACCTACAACAAACTTTACAGTTACAAACACCTAAATTGTTAAACGTTAACTGTAATATAGATGATATTCTATCTCAAAAGTTTGACTTACTCAGAAGTAACTAACTAGACATTTCGAGATATTGAAATGTTGGCATAATTGTATGGATGGTGAAATATATTCTGCAAAAACAACAAACAACTTATTAAATAAATATTAAATTAATACAAATATAAAATGGGAAAACTTTCTAGAATTAGATAATCCTATCATTCGCTCATTTAGATCTATCTAAAACGGTTTGTTTGTTGGGCTGCAGTCATTGGTTGGTCGATCAGTCGGGTTCATTCTTTTTGCGTCACGTTGTGTGCGGCGTGGCCTGATGACGTCTCACAACGCTGGACAACATGGCGAAGAAACAACGTGGGAAAGCCAGCTCGTCGTCAAAGACGGCGGGCATCGAAAAGCCCGCAGAGAGTTTCACCTTGTCGCTGGAGTCTAGCGACGATGAAGCTCCAGAGGAGGTGACCTTTGAAGACTCCAAAGCTGCGGCTCTGCGGAGCATGAAACAGGCGCTGGATACCGCTAGAAGGTAGCTAACCGCTAGCTAACCTGTGCTGGGACGGTTGGGCCAAACTCCATTCAAAAAACTTTGCATTCAGATGTCTCTATTCCAGTGAACACTACAGATACATTACGTAATTTTTACGTAGGCGTATATCAAATCGGCAGCACGAAATTTAACAAAATTCATGTTCACAACGTGTGTATTTTTTAGCTGTTGTGTACTCTCAGACGCACAGCTCTGTGTCATCAAATTGGTCTGGATCTTTGAATTGTTTGACGAAGTTTAGTTGGGCTAATGTCTAAAAGAGAAACTTTTCAAGCGTCAAAAAATAAACCCGATATGGACTGCACACTCAGAGGCCTTTTTATTAGCCACATTTGTAACAGTTCTGTCATAAACTTCACGTCTAGTCAGATTTAAGGGTGACCTCAGCAGGGCCACAAACGGATCAGTAAATTATCCTGAGGCGTTTGCCGGTTTTTGCAGTATTTTCATACATGAGGGACCAGAATATTAGCAGTCCCCCTGAGAATGGCTTACGCTTGATCGCCACCAGCAAAAATTCCCCATAAGTGTTATTACATTATCAGCAGAAGCTGTACAGTTGTGTGTTTGTGTCATTGTTATCCATAAACCTGATGAAATGCTCCTCTGTTTGCAGGGAAAAGCAGCTGCTAAAAGAGAAGAGGAGGAAGAGACAGGAGCTCTTCCAAGAACAGAAGGTCAGTGTGTGTCATTTTAAATGGTTTCAAATACTTTCAGAGGCCTGGACCCTGTCTAACCCTGAGTTTTAAGTTTTACAAATGCATTTACCTTCTTACCAGGGTGCATAACCATGGTAACTTCTCATGAAGTCATAACCTGCTCCTGAGAAAACATATGGACAAGTTCAAAACTACTGCCTGCTGAACAATGGATCGCCTAGAAAATGGTGTCACCAATCCTCAGAGCTCACTGCATTGACACTAATATGAGCTAAAGTATTTTTTTAAAGTCTAAAGATGAAATTTACATCACCCTAACACAAGCGGACTAACAGATTCAGAAAGTGCAGAACCTGTTTAACTCCCATTACAGTCTGACTATTGATTTTAGTTTAAGTGAAGCCAGATCAGGAGAGCCTGAGTATGCTGAAGTTGCTTCATAGTTCAGGATCCAGGCTCAACCCAATCACACATCAGTGCTTTCTTTTATTTTACTTCTATCTGAAAAGAGTTCAGAGGGTGTTCATTTCAGAAGGAGACACCGCTGTGCTGTTTGAGGTGTATTAAAGCAACATTAAGGAAATGATGGGGAGGAGAGTTTTATTTATTTTTCTTCATTATTGTTTTTAATCCCTCTGCCTGTGAGTCTTCTTCACTGCAGGGTGGTTAACTTTGCTTAGCTTTACAGTAAAGAGGCAGGAAGTAGCACGCCTGGTTTGATTGATTCTGGAGGAGGATGTCAGTGTTTTGTTCCAGTCCCATTCTTGACATTTTTCACTTTAGCTCAAAATGCAAAGTGACAAAAAACAGTTCTCTCTTTTTGCCTTTCAGTGTGACCTAATGCCGTAGAAAAACTAAAAGATGTGTGAACCTGCAGTTTCACAGACTGTTTTCTCCACAGAAAAGAAAACTCTTATCGGCTGACGTGTTGGAGGAAATCGACTCAGCTTCCTCAAAGTAAGTTTACCTGTCTAATTCTTGGATTTAACACATCGTCTCCATCAACTCACTCAGTGTTCACAACATTTGTTTGTTTTTCTTTTCTCCAGGAAGCAGAAACAGTCTGAAGATGAAGGTAAAGAAGCTTTCTTAATACATCTTTAACCATTTAGCTGATGCTGTGGAAGGACTGGGCACTGATTTGTAGAGCAGCAGATTGAACTTCAGATCTGTGACTTCAGCTAAATCAACCTGTCCTCACCCAGGTGAACAGGAGGAAAAGCCAGAAAAAGAGGGGGGAGATGGAAAGAAGAAGAAGAAAAAGAAAAGGAGTGGGAAATTGGCAAATGCCCGGAAGTATGTCAATGTTTTTAAACCATTTTATTTCAGAGTTTAAGAGAGACGCTTTACTTGGGTGGACTTGCCAGATTCTTTATTATTTAGTGTGGTCAGCAAATACCTTGTTGTTGTTACACATTACCAGGCACCAATAGAAACAAGAGAAAATGATGTATTTGAAGACAGGAAGTGTCTCAAACTAATATTTTTCAGTCTAATTTAATGAAGACTTTGCTCCAGCCTGTCCTCATGAGTTTCTCCTCCAGCGATGGTTCATGATGGTGGAGCTGGAGTTCATTAGCAGGAGAGACCCACTGATTGTTTTGGGAACATCTCTGCAGATAAAATATTGGTAGACAAACTTTGATTCACTGATGAAAGCCAGTTTGCAGCTCCTCACCCACCACGATTAGACAAAACCTGTTGTTACCAAGCACTTCACTGACTGCTGGACCCACTGATCAGAATCCACTCAGTGACATTTCAGAGAGGAAGTGAAGATGCTGAAAACCTCTCAATAAAATAATGATACAGAAATGTGATACTTTCATTGTTCTCACCTCATTGGGCACTTTAAATTTAGGAGATTAGTTGGACTCTGTGTGCAGAGACTTGTTTTAATTCTCAGCCTTTTGGATCCAATGAAAGTGCATGCTGGTGCTACTGAAGAAGTCTCAAACTGATCCTGATATATGTGAGACGATCATTATTCACTAAAGTGAAGCTGATCAAACACGCATTCTTCTTTCCGTCCTTTTATTGTACTCGTGTTGTTTGTCAGTCTGAAGGGGAAGTACACAGTGACGACGGTGAAGGAGCGAACGCTGGCGTCCTTCCAACAGCAGGTGGCCGAGGAGTTCATCCGGTCCAGACTGTACGGACCAGGAACCTGCAGGACCACAAGTAAGCTGGTGGCGCCGCCATACTTAATTTTTTGTCAGGTTTTCTACTCCATGATACAGGGAGATGCATTTCTGCAGAGATTTTATCACCTTGTTTGTTGTTCTTTGGTCTTAATACTGAGTGAACACAGCTTCTGTGTTGCTGATGTAAAATGAAGCAAACACCTGCAAGCTACACTCTGTGGCAGTAGTCTGTAAAGACGAGGATCTGTCTCAATTTGAGCTTTGCTACAATGACGTCCCGTCTCACTGAGAGGCGCTCGCTCTCCCGGGCATCCTGCTGCAGAGACCGCGACGACATTCACAGCTTTCAGTCTTCAGACTTTCAGACCGGCGTTCTGCTCAGTGTTTTTAATCTTAATGTCCTTCTGCTTTCAGATAATGAGATGCTGTCCCTCCAGAACAAGAAGGGGTGGAATAAAAGTGCGGCAGTGCAGTTTGTCAAGAAAGACTGGGGTACGTTCAGAACAAGCCTGAGATTGATGACCAGAGGAAGTTTACTTCAGCTTTTACAGTCCAGTTGGTGCAATGTGTCGTCCAAAGATAAGAAGCTTAAAAAGGAAAAAAAAGAAGACTTTATTTTTTCTTAACTGATTACTTTCTGCACAGTTTGTTATAAAAGAGATGGTGGGGCCTGAATACAAATCCCAGAAAAGTCTGAAGCTCTAAAGATGGTGGAAATATGAGCCAGTGATGTTGATGCTGGACATGTACAGGTGAGGTTTACGGTGGCCTCAGCTGTGTGGTGGAGGCGGGCAGGTTTACTTGTCGTAGTAAAGGTGGATGGTTTTTTTTGCTTTCTACTATGAAACTGCGTGTAGATAGAAGTATAATTTCTAGAGAATAAATGACCAGGGAATTAGGTGTTGCAGAGATGGCCGCAAAGTGGTAATACTTTAATTTAGATCTTTGGTCACCCCAATTACAGCCAAGTACACAGTGATTTCAGCTTTATCTGTAAAATGGGGTCAAAGGCATGAAAAGTTTGAGGTCACAGTTACAGATGGGTTCATCGAGAAGTTACGGTAAAACCTGTTTGTTATAGAAGTCTTTGTGTGAGACGAGTAAAGATATGGTCGAGTCTCTGCAGGCTTTGCACACCTGGATTGTGCACACCTGAACATTGTTTAACTGTCATTGGTTTGATCTCTTTAAATCTTTTACAGAATTTTGCGGTTATTGCCACACAGGTCAGATTTATGCCATGATATTTATTAATGTTGTTGTCACCACTCACCAGGTTTTCTGCCCCTGAGGCTTTTCAGGAGAGATTTTACCGCCATGTTTTTTGTTCTTTGGTCTTAATACTTTGTGTTATTGATTTAAAATAAACACCTGCAAGCTACACTCTGTGGCAGTAGTCTGTAAAGACGATGATCTGTCTCAATTTGAGCTTTGCTACAATGATGTCCCGTCTCACTGAGAGGCGCTCGCTCTTCCGGGCGTCCTGTTGCAGAGACCGCGACGACACTCCCAATTTTCAGTCTTCAGACTGGCATATTTACTCTCGATGTCCTTTCTAAAGGGTGTTTGAGTTGGAAAGCTGTGGGGACATAAGTCACATTTTTAAAAAAAACAACTTATTGGTCTGATCTTTCAGCCTCTAAGGAGAAAGCCAAAGCAGAGAAGCTGAAGAAGAGGTGGCTCCACAAACAGCAGCTTCCCTCCTGTTGATGGGACGTAAGCAAGCAGCCTGTGAGCACACTTCTCCCCACGGCTGTTTATAAGGACTCAAAACAGTCAGCATCACTGAGGAGGGGGTGGCAGCACTGTTGAAGCTTCAGGATGGGACAGTATACAGACTCTGAACTTGTCACAGAGACTCAAAAGACTGAGATCTTACCAAACTAAAGTCCTTCAACAGGTTCTTCATCACGGCTTTACCAAGAAGCAAAGGTTTTATTACTGCGTCTCCAAGTTTGTAAGGCTTTAATGTGAAGTTCTTGTGTTTCGTGTTTTTCTGCAGTCGCTTGTGTTAAAGGTGTTTTCATACCTGAAAGGCCAAAAATCAGATGTTTGCTCTTTTTTTCTGTAAAAATTCTGTATGAATAAATGCTGATTGTTTTCTATTTCATATTTTTGAGATAAAAACCCTGATGCTTTCATCAGGTGTTGGTTTGCATTCAAAAACAAAAATGCAAAAGATGACGTGGTTGAGTATCAGCATAGCATCTTTGGTAATTAAACTTACTTCAGACATAAGAGAAAAATAGCACTCAAATAATCCTGAGTTGAAATATGAAATGACAATATTTAGAAGACAAAAATAAAAGTTGAACTATAGGGCCAATCTATGGACATTTTACTGTGAATATACATATTTATGGGTAGTTTATCATGAAATATGTACATACACAGCTTTTGTTATATTTTTTACTATTTTCAGTCCAAAGCACTGAATCCTTCTCAGATACAAAGGCTTGAAAAGTTGGGATCTGTCATTAAAGCTCTCGTAGTATCACGTCCTGTCAGAGCACTTTGCTCTCAGACTGCAGGCTGACTTGTGGTTTTTAAAGGCAGAATGAGATGAAGTATCTTGTTCCTGTAGAACCAGCTCCCAGTTTAGGAGAGCAAAGCCCTATTTTAAGATTAGCCTTCAAAGTGTCAGGTAACCCTGCACCTTCCATGCTGCTGGGGGACTTTTCATGATGCACTGAGCAGTCTCCACTCACCTGTATTCACTCCCCATGAGTTTATGCCTTTATTTTCTCTCCCTCTTAAATATTTTTTTTTTCCTCTATGCCTTCAATTTCTCCCTCACCAGTGGGCTGGTAGATAGCTGGCCCTCCCCAAGTCTGATCAAAGGTGGTTCTTCCTTCCCACAGTCGTCAGTTCTACTAATATGGTATAGGCTGGTCATTGGGCTTCATTCACTGAATTTTGTTTCAGTTATTGTAAAAGTGCAAGAAACCTCAGAGTTAAAGAAGAATCTTTGAACACGTCATTTTGAATTAAACTGAACTCGATTTAAACTTCTGCTTCAGGTGTCATGCAGCATCCACACACGTGCTATCATCATTTGTCATTTTTAATATAAATCTTTTCACCCTCACACAAATTGCACATTTTTTTTCTCCAAATGGACACACAGTCAGCAGTGGACAACTTACTGGTTGACATCTTCCTTATACACCGTGAACTGGCTAAAAGAAGGAGAAACAAAAAGAATAAAATAAGAGACATCTAACTTGATCTTACCACCACTTTACTATGGCATGCATAGGTTTCAGACCTTACTCAGAAAGAGACAACAGACACTTTGTCTAAGAAGTTTTCTAAACGATGCCGTGACTGCTTGCGATCCAAAGAAACAAACAAACAAAAAAAAGAAAACAAAGAAAAACAAACCAAAGTACAGAAAGCTTGGTTCCACCGTGAGGAAAAATACCAACTCTGGATTCCTGGGTGGATGTGAGGGCCAGGGGCTAGAGGAAAAGATGGATGTTGTGTCAAGCGAAAGCCTCGGCCTTCCTGTTTCTCTGCGAGTGGCGAGCATGAACACAGGCCTAAAAAACACAGCTGCGATACATTTTGGTTTAACGTGGAAGCCACAGTGCAGGTGACAATTCTGGATTTTTTTCTTCTTAAAGTCTTTTTTCTTTTTACATCTTTACAGACTAAGAGGCCAAAAACAAACAAAAAAAACCCTATTCTGTTAATAAAACAAACCCGCAAGGTCACGAAAGCTCTCCTCTGAGGGGTGATGGGTAAAAATGAACACCTGTATGCATTTTCAGGAAGTTCAGAAATAAAAACTGGATAGATTTACTCCCTGGTAGCATTTTGCTGAGTACAAAAAAAAAAAAGCTCTGGGGGCAATTTGGTGGTAATCATTAGGAAAAATAAAAGAATTTAGATTTCTGCTATCCAAGTTAAAAGTATTTACTGTTTCTATGGTTTAAGCTGAACTAACAGCCTCTCCATTAATACAAAGAGAGGGGTGAGGTTTTGGCACCCACTGATGACGGTACTGGTTTGATTAAAGACAGTTGGAGCCAAGTTAACACAGGATGAGGACTGGAGATGGTCATGAATAAGGTCATCTTCAGGTAAAGATACAGATTAATGCATATATATAAATATATATAAGTTCTGAGGCTCTGCCATAAAAAACAAAAACCATCACCGATTTAAATGTAGCTGATCCAAGGTCATTATGTTGTGCATCTGTGGATCATTTGCAGGGTTACCTGAAACACAGATCAGTTGGAAGTCCTGTTCTGACATTTCTGATACATGTAAGAAGTTGCAGGGCATCAAATCTGACTAATTTACTCTACGACCAGCTGCTGAATGATGGCACACATGCCACACAATTTCACTTCAATTATACAAATGTTCTGCCTCAGGCATTACAGTCTCACTCCGAGGGATCAATTTACATTGTTCATCCATTCAGTGTGATCACGAACACGGCTTTGTGCGTGGACCCTGTGGACTCCTGCACTGAAAACTGCCGTTTGTTCTCACGAGCTGTAACCTGAGAGACTTGGCTCTCATTATCAGTGGTCTTCAGCATAAAAGTGGGGTCAGAATGATGGAACCGGACGTTTGGGATCTGGGATCAACAATGCAGAGCACAACAGAGTGATGTAACAGAAGCGGCAACACTGAACGCAGTCGAAAGGTGCACGGGAAGAAGTCCCTGAAGTAGAGGTCAGCCACATTTAAATCGAAGGATTTTCTTCTTCTTCTTTTTAAGGGCAGGGTCTTGACTTTATGACGTACTCAAGGAAAAAAAACCAAAACACAGTTTTTTGTTCTGTTTTTTTGTCTTGTTCTTTTAGGAGACAGGAAATTTAAGTTTGACTTTAAATGGCTTAAATGGCTGAGCTACCTCAGAGGCCGATTTCACACCAGCTCAGTTTTTCTCATCTGATTTAAATGACCAAAAGTCGAGTCAGCATTCAATAGATGCACAGGGGCCAATCAGCTGCTTCTAAACCAAGAATGATGAACAAGAGGGTATTTTGGCTCCTGAGTTTGTTGGGGGTTAAAGATTAGCATAGAGAGATACAAAAATAAATATTAACAATGTTTGGGACAAATCTTTTGTGTGGCTGAGGGTTTACCAAGGAGGGAGGGAGGGTAACAGATAAAATGCAGTCAGAGGTCAAAGCAGGGCTCCTACACAGCGCAGTCATCATAGAAAATCCAGCAGAAGTGTCTGAAGACGCTCTCAGCTCGGCTGTAGTGACTTCATGGACAACATGTAAAATCTGCAGCCAAGTTCTTAGAACTAAAAACCTGTTTTTTTCCAGAATTTTCCAGGCCTGGAATTTGTGTCAACTTTCACCTGTGTAGGAACCCTGGATTCAACCAAAGAGGAAAATATTACAAACTGGGAACAACCAGAACACTTCAGGGGTCACTGGTGTCAGTACAAAGCATTAAAGGACTGTTTTGTTTTTTTCTGTGATTTCTATAACTAAATATGTCGCTCTATTGATATAATTTTATTTTGTTAAATTCATATTTAAACGTTAACATGTACACACGCTCGTCACTGGTAATCGGTAGAATCGGGACCTTTATTATAATAAGTTGGAGGAACTTGCTCTCGCTGGCGCTCAACAAATATACTGTGAATGCAAGTAACAATAATTAATATATTGATAATTAGAATAATAATAAGAATAATCATCGTCATCTGCACCATGCCTTGTAAACCTGGAAAAACTAAACAAAACAAGAGCCAGGTAACCCCCCCCCCCCACGTCTGCCCACTTCGCCGAAGAAAAACAAAAACTAAACAAAAGATTAAAAATAGGGAACGCTGAGTCGAGACTGTAGATTCTCTCTCGCTTCTCTGAAGTCCCGAGTCCACGTACGTCACACATATCTTCGCCGATGTCCTGAAGTCAGTGGAAGGTAGCAGGAGGGAGGCGGTGCAGAGAGGGTGAAGATTTACGGAGGGGGGGGTAGGCCATAAGGTTCGCATTGGCCGGAGTTTGAGCAAGCCTCGGTGAGGTGGACTTTTCAATCCCAGCATCAGCATCAGCTTGCCTCCGTGTTTATTTGTGTGTGTTTTCTGTGTGTGTTTGCCTGGTAAGCCCCAGGTTTACAGGGACCACGTTAATGGTGGGTCAACCATGGCGGCCACTCGTCTGTTTTCTTATTGTTGCCCCCCCGCCACCCCTCCCCTCCCCATTTATGTTTGACCAGAGATATTTTTTAGCAGTCTGTCCACCCCCGGTTTGATTCCTCCCCCAGGAATGCGGGGACTGTGGCGCGTCCACATGAGTTCAGCCCCCCCCCGATTATTTTTTAAAGTCAGCTACTGTCAGTTAGATGGAGGCAGATGCATGGGGAGCCAACCGAAGGTGGAGGTGTAATTTCATATTTATGATGGAAAAGGAGGTGGTGTCACTCTAAGGATCTGCCCAGAAATGTCTTCTGACCCTCAGCGGCGTTCAGCAAAAGCAGAACCAGAAGCGAGTGAGATGGTTGACGTTCTATGACGGCGTGCAGAGGAATGCCTCCTCGGCTAATAGGACTACACTGACTGAGGAGTTGGAAAGAAGGATTTCTGGACAGGCCCTTGGAGAGTGTGTGTGTGTGTGTGTGTGTGTGTGTGTGTGTGTGTGTGTGTGTGTGTGTGTGTGTGTGTGTGTGTGTGTGTGTGTCTGCGTGCGCACGGGGCTAGTGTAGGTAATCATCCACAGAGGCAAAGGCGCAGGAGCCGCTGCCAGTTCGTGCCATCATGGCGAGGCATTGGGCGGCCTGACCCACGGCCTGGGCCAGGGGAGGCTGCTTGGGCAGGTTGTGAGTCTCTGGAAAGAAAAAGGAAAAAAAGAAAATTGTGACTGCAGGTAATATCAGGAATTGGTAGGTGCAGTGCTTGTTGGACAGTCATACAGCATCTGGAAGTCATTTTAATTGAACGGCTTTATTTTCAGATTATTGAACTGAAAAACTTCAGAATCTGCAGGAAAATTGTGTTTAACAATGTCTGTAAAGAATTTCTGAGCTTAAAAACATCACATTACATGATAATCAGAATCAACATATCAACATGCAAAGGACAATTTGATATATGGTTAAAAAAAAAAAAAATCACTGGTGTTTTGGAAGCAAGTCACATTTTCCAGCTCACTCAGAATGAGAATACCTGCTCAGTTCTGCCTTCGGCTGGATAGCAGGTGCACTGACACCTTTATCTTTAAGGTTAGTTCACCTGGATTTAAACACATGTCCTGGTAATATGCAGTCCCTAAGATATGCTGCCTGTCTGTCTTAAGATTTCTGCAGCAAACCACATGCAAAAGTTTTTTAGCATTTATCACAATCTGAGGTTTTTTTGCTTCTTTTTGAGATTTGGGTTACCCACAGTCCCCATCAATCTCTTTTATCCTCCTACATCCAAAATGCTAACTGAAAACTGTAGACTGGATCATGCACTGCTCATGGCTGACCCACCTAATATTGCACTGTTGAGAGTGGAGCAGACCGGCTCTCTCTGAATGGCGTCCAGCTGGTATCCGACTGGGCTGTTCCACGGGTCCGAGTAGGCCAGCAGGCTGAATGCGTCCTGCAGCAGAAGACGGGAGAGCAGAAAGTGATCACACCACAGCCCATCACTTCATTTCACCTGCTTTGTTACAACATGCTGTAGCTGAACATTCTTTGTGTTAGCATTTCAGCTCAAACAGAATTTTCCCACAGTTTGACCTGTTCCTTTAAGACAACTGAACTGACTGTACATTTTAAAACAAATATATTACATCATGACTGACTGCAGAGGTCACAAAATCTGTTTTTGAGCTATACTTTCTTCCCTTAAAAAAATGAAATAAAATAATGTTAATACTGAACATTTGAGGTCATTAGTATAGACATCCTTTTGGAGAGATTGAAAATGAGCCCCGTTATCTCGGATTTTAAATGACAAAACCTCAATCCCATCTATGACATTTGCTTTTTAATCCTTCCACTGAGGCAGTTTTCTGGCAACTATTGTTGCTGTCACAATTTGTTTAACTGGAACGAGATGTCACTGAAAAACAGACTGAATGCTCATATGCTAGGATCATCAATGTAGGTACCTGCCAAAGTCGAACACCTTCACCATCAATTTGCTCTAAATGAGACCAGAATTTTAGAACATGAGCACCCCTTTACACTGCCTTTGATTTGAACCTGGCTCATTTTGGCATTTTACTGGGAGCTAGTACAAACAGATAACATCTGAAGCTTTTATAAATATACAGTACAAAGGCAGGCATATTTTTATGTGAAGAAAATGGCTTAAATGATTGAAGTCAACTGTAAATGCCTGAAATACAAACACAAAAGGTGAACAGACCCCACAAAAACAAACAATATAAACCAAGTAAATAACAGAGATTCCTGTGTTACCTTGAGCATCTTTTTGTTAGCAGAGTTCTTGCCGCACTCACGGCGGAGGTGTTCACTCATGCTCTGGAGCTCCCTGCCAAAATGGATCATTCTCTCGATGGCTGCCTGGCTTCCGCCGCACAGCTGCCTCTTAGACTGTGCCGACTCCACCTCTGTAGAGTCAATTCAAAATGAAAAGAAAAGTGTTTTTAAGGCTGCGTGACACGCACAATGTGTGCATGACATCTTGAAGAAGAAAAAGGCTGCTAGAAAGAAGCTGCTAGATAACGCAACATCCAAAGTCTCAGATCAAGTTTCTTATGTCTCCACACGCTCTGCTCACCCATGTCTGCGTCACAGTCGTCAGGCTCCGTGGTGTGTTTGGAGGTGCCGTTGAGAAAACCATTGGAAGACGATTCTGTCACTCCGTTGGTGAAGTGATCGACCTCCATATCCACATCATTACTGAGAGAAGACACAAGAAACTGTCAGCAGCTTCTACAGGTGGATACTGTTTGGATTTGTAGAAGCTACTTTTGGCTGGAATCCAACCAGCAACCTTTTGCTTGCCAAGTGAATGCATTAACACACCACTGGAGGCACTAATATTATACTGCTCTGATTTAAAATCACTGCCAGCACAGCTTCTATTTAATATTGATTATTTATCGATATTTTTATGGCTTCCTGAGTGATTTCTGTCTACGCAAGTTTTCAGCATTAATGCAACCATTACAGGACGGACACGATTTCCATCTTTAGTTCTAACAAGGCTCATAAACATCAGAACAACACAATTAATACTAACAGCGCTACATTAAACATCTATAGGATTCACCATAGCTCATTTTTACTTTTTTAAAGTAACTCCTATCCCTAGGGACCAACATCCTCATCACATAAAACGTCTCAGACCTAGACCTATCTAAGTTGTTGGGTTTATTCCCAAGTTCAAAAACTGTGGAAGTGAATTTCGTGCCGCCATTAGTCTACACTGCCCTGTCCTCTGCATTAGATTAGTTCGACAAGGAGGTAACAAACAACTCCTGTCTGTTGAGTGGAGCGTAGAATATTAAAAATAACCAATAACCATAACCAAAAATGACAAATAGTAACCAGCATCAATAAAAATAACTGTCTGAAGTGTAAAGGCACATGTTTCTGATAGATTGTTGAATCTGGTAAATTATCCAATCACATCACAGAAAGTTCAAGGGAAGAAATTTCTCCTAAATGAAAGCTGGAAACCAAATTACTAAGACAATTACTTACCAAATTACTTATTCATTATATTCATTTTAATGTCTAGTTTGAACCATCTATGAACATTATGTGGGCAGATAATGTTTAACAACAATGGTTAAATAAATACTGAATAAATATTTTAGTACATCTAAATATTTTGAAGCCCTTGTAAAATTTGATTTTTATAGTTCTTGTCTTAAAGATTTTGTGAGCAAGCAGGCGGAGGAGTGAATGTGAAAACTGTAGTTTGTTTAGTTTCACATGCAGTTTAGTTTCATATTACTAGGCGTCAGGTTAGCCTTAGTAAAAGGTTGTGGTTTGGATGCCATGACACGTGGCTCACAGGACCAACAGACGCTTTACGTATACCTCTGAGACGCCGGCAGCTTTGACCTAACAGCAGTACTTGAACCCCTGAGAACGAGGACAGACTCACTAATGACAATAACATTTGGAAATTAACAAATACATAATTATATTGCATACTGATGTAATGTGTCCCACTACATGGTTTAATAATGAATTCATAATTGTTCAACTGTGAATAAGAAAATGGATAAATGATTGTTATAAAGTGATGCTGGCTTATTTTGATTAAAAGTCTAAATTTACTGTTAACTAGTTTAGATGAAAATAATTTGGGGGGGATGGAGGAAAAGTTAAGGTCACATGATGAAATTTACATCTTTTAAAGTCAAATTGTAAAGATATGCTAGTTAAAAAAAACTCAAAACCAAATAAACTCCTCCAGCTTTTACTGCTGTGTGAGTGCTTTGTTTCCATACCTGGTTATCGGCTGTTGGCTGCGACTCCCATTGAGGCTGATGTCGGATGCTGGGAGAGTGGAGCCAGAGCCCGGGGGGCAGGGCTTATGACTGTGAGGGGAGGAGCTGTGGCTCTTATTAGACGTCACACCATTACAGCAGTTGCTGTCAAACCCTGCAAATAAGTTTGACATATTTGAAATGATTTCAAATGTTCTTAAAGTGACAGACAAAACTCCAATTACTAAACACAATAGAAGTAACGCATCCATTCTGATGTGCTCGCTCGCAGCTGATTTCCAACCACTACCCATAGTTTGGTTTTTACATGCATAACAAATGACAGTAATTCACTTTTATGAAAATACATTACATATACAAAACTACAATAACTGTATTTAAAACATACAGAAGAATGACAAAACAAAGCAACAAATAAGATGTTTTGTTGAATAATAACGAAACAAACAATGACTGAAAAATCCTAATGCTCTGATCTGAAAATTTAGATCTACTCTGTGTGTGTGTGTGTGTGTGTGTGTGTGTGTGTGTGTGCGTGCGTGCGTGCGTGCGTGCGTGCATACATTTAAATCATTCATCACTCCTTCCTTATCTTATCTATGGATAAGTTGCGCTAAACTGTTTATAGCATTTATAGAATTGACACTCACATTAAACTACAGTTTTTTTAATTGTGAAACATCTTCTCCACAATAGCAAAAGTTTACATGATCTTGTATCACTCTCTCTAACAAGTCACAATATAAAGTGACAGGACAAAGCTGTAAAAAACAAAAACAGAAAGCCAATAGTCTAATTTTATATAGTATTTCCCCCCTTATCTTGTCATTAAAGAGCTCCACAGCACTAACTGGCAGTGGTGTTAATAGTCATTTGTTCAGTTTTTTATTGTGTGCTTTGCACAAATGCTGCCGGCAAATGTGAGCAGAATGTGTTGAGTTGGAGTCAATAAATTATAAATATTTAACATTTATTACTGCAACTAAAAAAAGAAGAAAAAGGGAGAGAGGGAGAAAAAGGCTTCACTGGCAGTTTATTGGCTTCACCATTACAAAGAAGAGAAATGCATTCACAGCCTGTTACCCATCCCATTTTATTTCATTGAAAAATCAATGAGGTATTTATGCTGCTTCAGATGCTTAAAGGGCATAAGAAACAATCACACCACGGCAATGTGTAGTTAACGCTCCTGAAGAGACAAGTCAGTTGCCACACATGCTAATGAGATACAGCTGAAAGTGATCAGCTGGTCTCCGGCAGAGCAACTCACAACTGGTTCAGGAGATCCACTCTTTTCTATTAAATAGTAATATAAACACTGTTTTGTATTTTTGTTGCACCTTGCTTTTAGAGGAACATCTGTGTCATTCAAGATGAAAAAAATGTGGTGGGCTTTAGTTTGTGCTGCAGACACAGATTCAAACATGGGTGTAGAGATGGTGTCTGTAAGCTGATGTATATTTGTGCTCAGGTCAGGGAAAGAAAGAAATATTTTTTTCCCCTTTTATTTGCCTCTGGCCTCTTTTCCCCCCAAAGATAAGTGAAGTTTTCACACTGTGGATGATGTGAATAATGTTGGACTGCACCTGTGAGGTAGGGCTGGGAGCTGCTGGCTTTGTGGCTGGGGCTGCTGAAGGGCCGGGGTGACCCGGGGTAACTGTCCTGAGACTTTGGGCTGCGACCTCCCAGACATCTCACCTCGCTGTCTGTCCCGTTCACCATCTCTATGAACTGTCTCACCCTGGGGAAAGATGGAAAGAGGTGAGGAAAGATTAAAAGGGGGGAAAACAGAAGGGTTAGGAAGGATGGTATGAAAATAAAGAGGTGGAATAAGGTGAAAAAGCACACAGAGCAACAACAGATGGAAATAGAGGAAATAAAGAAAGGGATGTAAAGACAGGAGGACAAATTTTAAAAAAGTACTTAACTTGGTATTTAAGTATAGAGCTACATATGTGAAAGAGAGTAGTCGTTCAGCTTAGAGAATTAAAAAAAGGGCAGAATGTTTGATTCCATCCAAGTTGGGCAGTGAGCGAAGCCATTTTCAAAGCAATGCAGGAAATCTTATCGTATCTTAAGGGATATCTTATCCCCTTTCCTTTAAATATAATTATTGAATAACTCACTGTCTATAGTGAGGCTGTGTGAGGGTGCGTGACAGATAAAAGGGTTTAGATTATGGCTTTGTTAACTTTTCCAATAATGTTATCCATCTAAATAAAACAAATAAAACAAGTGTAACATGTAAAACATACATTTTATATACAACCATGTTCTTACTTGAGCATGAAGAGAAGGTCTGGGTTCCTCTCCAAGAGGTTGGGGTACAGCTGCTGGGTGGTCTCAATGGCTTCACCCATTCTACCCGACAACACCAGCTTCTGGATCTCTACAAACCAACAGTGAAATCACACATGAAGGTTTTGAATGCTACCGTTAACAACCTCCACCTCCAGTAAGAAGGGAGGGTCATCCCAACATCTTTTTTATGATGGGCTCCATTAGCTTTACTCTGCCTGTAGTTGCACTCAGATACATTGTTGCATCTTTGAAAAAAACAAAACAAAAAAGAAAAGCCCTATAACGACCCAATGTTACTGTGTCACTTCTCCCTTATGGTTTCTGATGATCAGGCTCCTGTTCAAGTACAGTTTGTATGGGGAAAATGTGTATATCATATACACTGATGTTTAAATTCAAGAACTGTATACTGTAGAGTATTAGAAATCAACATATGCTGGCTGACTGCGTCTCGCAGAGAGAAACCATACCAACCACTTTGTTTCCTTTATGATTTTTAAATCTACAAAAACAGCACAGTGTCAACTTTAAAAATGGGGAGTAAGAAATAGATATAGAAATATAGGAGCACTCACTCTGCCGGTTTTTGATGGAGGCCAGCTCCTCATGCACGGCCTGATCGGTGGATTTGGCGAAGGCTTCAGCTGTGGCGCAATAGCTGTGGTGCACCAGGTAAGAAGCCACCATCCTGATGAGACAACAAAAACCAAAATACACTGATCAGACAAAGCAGAAGCAGATTTTCTACAATAGCACTGCTTTTATTGTTTTTATTGCTTTCATTATTTGTTAATGTTGCCTCAGCAGAAGTAACATTAATTGAACTTTTCTGTCAGGACAGAAAAAAAAAAAAAAACTGGTTCGACTGAGTTGATTTTGAACAGGGATGTACCACAACAAGTGAGATAAAGCAGGTTTTATTTTTGGCCTGATTACACCCAAATTTCTACAGCACCACTACACACAAATTTCTCTTGAACTGCTTGTATTTCAGAACTTGGACCACAGCAATAGCATAACAGAGTCTGCTGACAGTCTCAAGCTGAAACAGCTACTATATACAAAACTAAAGTTGAGTTTGTTTTGTCGTTTTCACTGTCAAGACACAACTTCAACTCTACGCTGGTCTCATTTGTGTAGCTTTCTCTGATCCGTTCTTTCTATTATGTCACAATTTTGCTCACCAAGTTAATAACTCAGCCTAGGAAATAAAATGATCCTTTTGTGGTATAGTCACAATCAGTCACAATCCCTCACTGCGCAGGAAAACTGTGGGCTGTGGGCACACCATTGTGGTAAGGGTGAGGGGAGGGTGTCAAGTTAAAACAGGAAGTCTGTCTGTACACCGTGCCTCGCAAATGAAAGTCAGTTCATATTTCTTTTCTTTTCACTTCCGAGTGTGTTCAGCTGTTGGCCTTTCCGCTTTCTTCATCTGATCACTCTTTACTTCTCTAATGTCCACAAACCTGAAAGACTAACTTGAAATTACAAACACTTAAGTCTTATTAGCCAGAATGACCCTTTAAAGGTAACCCGCGGGGGACATCCTTATGTGCTCATCTGAGGCACAGAAGCCACGCTCAGCTACTGCTCAAATTCTGTTTATCCAGGGCAGACAATAGAAAGTTTCCAGGTGCTACCGCAAGGACCAGGATAATATACATAAGGATTATTTTGAAATGTGAATAATGCAAAGCTACTCTGGCAGAGTTCAAGAATAAAAATATGCAGATGAATATGAGCATGGTATGTTTTTTGAGTGTATGTGTCTGACTTTTCATTAATCAAATTAGAGGCACGGCTAAACCCAAACACCCCATTACTATGTCGATGACGAGTTCCCTCAGTGCAGCAGAGCTAAACCAAACTTCATGCTTCAGGCCGTTATATGACGAGATAATGCCACTCTCACCGGCTGATCATCATGCTACCATTGTTCCACAGAGACAATACACTGCACTGGTGTAAGATCAGAAACTTCTTGGTTCTATACCTGCCTGTGAGGCGACATCTGGATAAAGGCAATAAGTCCCTTTATTCACTCCCACCCCCAACTCCAATCCCCATCAAATGGAGTTTAAATCCATTCAGGACAAGTAATCATAGCAACAGAGAGCTAATCCTGCCAGGCCACAGCTTGAAGGGAAACCAAGCCCTGCATCTTTCCCTTCTGAATCACAGCTCCAGCTCTTCGATGAGGAACAATCCATCTGGGCCTTGATGCTCTTCATGTTAGTAGTAGTCCTGTCACCTACAGCATCCTTCTAAGACTTTTTCATTTAGCCAATACAAGATGAACACTGTTCAGTCTACAATAACTGATCAAAAGCTCTGGATCCAACATGAATGTAAATTTCTGGTCAGCTGTCTCCTGTTCATGTAAGCATGAATTAGTAAATGATTGTACTGCTAAAACAGTCAGATAACAAGCCTGAGTGTGTGTCTGTGTGACATGAACACCGTGTGAGACCTACTGCAGTCACCATAACTCTGTCAGTAGATAAGCAGTTAACTGCGACTATACAACTTGTAAAACACACACTTTCACACCCATTTGAACCAAGAGGAACTTTATACTTAGAACAAGTAATTCATGCACCCACACCAACATCGCTAGCTGAACAGGAAAACAGAAGTAAGAGTTGTTTTATGTTACAACATTTATTTATTTATTAACTTTATCTGTGAAACAACAGTGTGTAACAGTGTGTGTTTAAGTGCATAAAAATAGCCAGTACTTAGACCCTGCAAAGGCGTTAACTTAGGAGAAGCAGGCAGCTGGTTTTATGCAGAAGAATACCTTGAGGTCACAAAGTCAAGTACTCCCTTTTCCTCCATCTGGTCAATATGCCGCTGGTACTACTGAAACAACCAGCACTTTCAACTATTTATGGTCTAGTTAAAATCCAATCAGCTGTGAAATGTGGAGTAATGATGGTAATAACTCTCCGTGTGGTTTTCCATGTCTGCTACAACTAGCTCTGCCACATTACATCAAGCAGTTAAGCAGAAGTGAGAGTTAAAGTGCCAAATATGATGTCAAATCTGTACATAAATGTACTTAACCATGAAAGTCCTTTAATCCACACATTCATAAGCATGTATGGATTTTAATAAGCAAACCAGTAAGATTGTGCTAAACAAAATGGTCTTTATTTCAGTGGGCTATAAAATCATCACTTGTATCAGATATTAAATTTGTTGATTAAGACTTGCTATTCTGTATCCTGATAAAATTGTTAAATTTGCAGATAAAATTTGAGATTTGACAATCGTGTACAACAAAGAAACTGAACATTATAACACTGTTCCTCATGAGCCTTAAATAGGTCAGGTTAGTCCCCTTTTGCTCTCATGTGTGGAAGATGTCAGGAACATTCAGCATGGCTCACTCACACGTTAGGAGCCACGTGGTGGTAACATCACATGGATAAAGCTTTGGTATAGGAAACATATCCACAGATTAACTTTTCACTTCTCCTACTTGTACTTAAACTTCTGAAATCATAATAGGGACATCTATTTGGAGACCATCTGGCTGAAAAAATACAAAATACAAAATAAAAAAATAAAATAAAAAACAGCTTTTTAAAAATGGACATATCAAAATCTTTCATTTCCTGCAAAGTTCGTTTTCCACAATTTTCGCAGCTATTTTTTTTTTCCTGAGGGAAGCAGACTGAAGTCAATTTCTAGGTTATTCTTAACCTAAGAAGTCATCCTCGTGGCACCTTATCACTGGGCAGACATCATAAGTGAACAAAGCATGGCAAGTCTAATATTCCACAGTTAAAAAAATAAATAAAATAAATGTACTTAGCTTAAACTACATGCAAATAATTTGAGCCTTCTAACTCTCTTACTTCTGGATCATGGACTGCCACTCGCCCTCGCGCTCTCCGATGGGGAAGCGGTCAATCTGGGCCTGAATTTTTGTCCTCCATTCTCTCATGTAGTCTTCAATGTCAAACACGAATGGGTGCTGCCCGAAGTTTGCATCCACCACCTCCCCTGGAGTCTGAAGGCCCACGGTCGGGTACAAGTTAGGCTGCAGCAGGGAGCGATAAAGAGAGGTAAGAGTGATAGAGGAAACGGAGTCTGGAATGCAATCTGGACAATTAATCAAAACAGGAAGAAACAATGAAGGGTAAAAACAGGAAAACGGAAAATCTCAGGAAATAAGCTTTTGTCTGCAATTACGCCTTAAAATGTGATTTTAGTAGCTGACAAAGCTCATACGTGGTAGGATGCTGACAGTGCATCTTCTGAACAGAGAGCTCAGCCTGTTTTCACAGCGTCGTTTAAAAAAAAAAAAAGGGGGGGGGCCTTATCGCACTCACTGACCATAATATGACTATCAGCTGATTGCTGAACTGACTTCATCAGAATTGATGACACTTCCAAATACTTGACTTTTGATTAATTTTGCTTTATAGACAGAACTAAAAAAATGTTCTGTCAGTCAACAACCCAGCAAAGATTTTTGATTATTGTGCATTTCACTTCATTTTATGATTTTTTTTTTTTTTAATTTTAGTTTGTCCTCCAATACATTACTAGTACTTCATAGTCCTGTTTATCGACTCTGTCCCACGTACTGCACTCAGCCGAGAGCAAATTAATTTCAACTGAAGACATAAATAATAAAGGAATACTGGTGGGTACTCTTTGTCTTACAATTTGAAGCATATTGAACTGTGAAGGGGAACAATTAATATGATTTAATTATAATATAACTGGGTTCGGTCATTGAAAGGTTGCTGTGTTTATTTTCTGCCGATCATCTTTGACTGCTGTTCAATACTCATTTGATGCTATGGAGCATATCTTATGGCAACATCTACCAATATACTACCCAAACTAAACAGCAGTTCTCATTTTATTTTTCAGCTTATTCCTGTTGTTACCTGTAACTTCATTAAAAACCTCATTTGTTTTTCAGACCAAGGAAACAGCAATCCCACGTGCTAACAGTGCAGCTCCCTAATACACAGTTTTGGAAAACTACTGATGTTAAACAAGGAGGACTCTACACTCCAACACGACATAATCCAAATTGTTGTATGATTTCTGATTATGATTTAATGAGCAACAGCACTATACATGAGTACTGGTGAATAAAAAGTAGAAAGTACGGGAGCACTGAAAGCAATGAAGCTCAATTACTACAGCCAAAGCCTTTCCAGAAACAAGTCTCACTCAGCTGGCATTTTAAAATGTCTCTGGGCACTTATTTTGAAGCAGCACCAGAGTTAAATTTCACTTATCACACAGCCATAAAAACTGCAAGTACAGAATCTGTGATAAAAAGCCACTGAAAGGTTTGCTGACTTTGCAACAAAGACTGTTTTAAAAAGTTTTTTTTTTGTTTTTTGTTTTTTTTTAAATATAAATCCCTGATTTGACAGACAGTAATCAGACAGAGCTAAATGAAAAACACTTAAGATTTGCATATCTGGATGTATTGTTCTACTATTCTACCAATCACCAGAGCTCTGGTTTAATCAGAGGCAGTGGTGACTGGTGGAAAGGCACATTCACCGTGTTGTGTTTGGATGGCTGCAAGTGTCCTTAAAATAAATTAATACCGAAATACCAAAATGTAAAAAAAAAAAAAGACAAACAACAAAAACTTTACAAAACACTAAACTTTTTTAGAGTTAGATTTAGGCTAGGAGTTGGGAATAACACCGCTGATAACAGCCCACATAAGAACAGCAGTACAAAGCTGTGTGTGTCTCTCACAGTTGTCTTTGTCATGGTTCAATAACCAGAAAGGTCAGCTGCGTCGAGGTGACGCACTTCACTGCACAGCTCTGGAGGAACATGAATGTCTGGCTCACATCCAAGTCTGTTTGGCTGCTCAATGGATTATTGTTTTAGCTAAGACTCTTATTTTTCTTCTTCAATAACAGCCGGCACCCGTTTTCATTTGCTACCAACCAAGCAACAAGTGTCTCCCTAAACATCCCAACTTTGGTAACGTATGCATGAATCCCACTGGAATCAAGACCCAGTGGGTGTGGGAGTCGTTCACATAACGAAGAATAGGAGCTGACCGTGTCGCCTTGTTAAGAAACAAAGGAGTACTCAAAACTCTGGTTCCATTTGAAAAAGTAGGCCATTATTCTCAAGTCTAGCTCCATACTGTTGGACGTTCTTGGTGCAGCTCCTTAGGCAAAACAAACAAAACAAAAGCAACAAAACATTTTAGCTCCTCCCCCTTTGGGGCAAACCATTTGTGGTTCGCTGCTGCTTACAAACGGAAGTTTTAAACAGCAGGAGGTTGGGGCTTCTGTGCTCACAGCTGTGTGCCTGAGATGGCAATATTACAGTTATCTCCTCTGTCTGACACAATACACAGCAAATAGTAGAAAAAAAACAAAAACAAACCCCCCTTAAAACAAAAAAGAAGCATGAGCATTTGGCTCATACACTGTAAATAGTTTTTAAACTTTCAAGCTGTTTTCCCCACTAAATGAAAGTGGAAAATGTGTCAACATGACTCTGATGGAAGATCTGGATCAAACAGCAAGTTTACAGCAGCTTAAAAGAAACATTTTTTTATTTTTTTTATTTTTATAAATACTTTCTTCAGACATTTATTAAGCAGCTACTTTGAAGCATTATCAAATTAACTGTCACCAGGAGTGAACTCTGTGAGGGAAAAAAAAACAAAAACAAACAAACAAAAAACACAGCTTATAAAGTTTGCTGACTTTGTTTTAAAAAGCTTCTTTCTACTTTGAGAGACGTCCCTGAGATTTAAATTTAGGAGTCTTCCATTTAATTTTATTGGTCCAACCAATAAAATAATTAGATAATGAAATCAGTGCCACATAAGAAGCATTTTATACACAGTAAAGATATTCCTGCTAATATCAATTTATATAATTTTTTAAAAACTGTGCTTTGTTTTGCCGTTTTTCAATTTTTCTATGTTCTACTTTTCTCCCCCACATTTCAAGGCCTACAACCTGCACTAGATGCTTTACTAATGTAACTCTGTTCATCCATTTGTGGAAAAAAAAATGAAACCATAGTACAAAAAGTGTTATATAAAGCAGTTTACTGTGTCAAACACCTGACAACTTTGAGTTAAAGCCTCCTAATAAATGTGAACCTCTGAACTTCATAACGTAAATACAGAAAGTACACTTCATTTGCTTTAAACACATAATAAATTCTTAATAGAGAACACTCAAGTGTCTGTTTATGGTTGGATAAAGCCAAAGAAACTTTAGCCAAAGGTTACACAGACACCACAATCACTACAGATGTGACAGAAGAAGAAAGGCCTTCCAGTTTGACAGTGTTTGAGAAAAGCTGACGGTGTGTTCGGAGCTCCCGAGTTTTCCAGCCTCTAATCCATTTTGCATGATTAAACATTTTGACTGCAGTGGACATTCTGCAGGAAATGACACATTTAATTTCCATAAATAGCATCATCTCCTACAGCTGTGCTAATTATGGAAAAGATTACTTTACAACAAAGAGTGAAGAAAATCTCAGTACTTACTGGTAGGTCTGTGAAGGCAATACCTGCAGAGGAAGAGAGAAACAGTCAGCATGAAGAACAAGAGTACTTTCCATTTCTGCACACAGCGTGAGGCCACAGTTCGTGTGTTTACATGTGCTGAGGTAATCTGGTTACGGTCATCTTGCTGCAGTTCATAAATGTCACATAAGCGAGAAAGACCGTCTCCCCAACAGATTTAACTGTGAACCCGGTCTTCTAATCATGAAGGAAATTATCACTAAAGCATTATCTAAAAAATACAAATTTGATGTAATTTTTAAATTATACAAAGTATTGCAAAGCCTTCACATTAAAAGCTTTTTGACAGATTTGCTGGATGCTTATATTATGAAGAACATACATACATATAAATATATGTTTACATTGCTTTTACTATCGAGCTTTGTAACATTTCTTTGCTGTGCAGTAAAGTGGAAAAAATAATTTAAAACAAAAAAAGAGCAAAAAACATCAGAGACATTTAATTAACAAAGAATGATTATTTAAAACAACAACAACAACAACAAGACAATTCATAGAAACATGCAAAACTTAAAAAAAAAAAAAAAAGCAATATATCACAAGCTGGACTTGCTGCAGTGGCCTCTTGTTTTGTGTTTGGCTCAGTAACAACTTCTGTGAAACTATTACAGCCGTGTTTGTAAAATGAGCTTACATCATGGCAAAGTTTCTCCTCAGAAAATATTAAATTTTCCAATCCCTTTGATTACATTTGTGTAGTTATTTATTTCACACAAAGTTCCTTTGGAAGTCTCCAACTACAAAGCTTTGGTGAGCGGGGTATAAAAGGGACATAAGTGAGCCAATCCTCCATCTACCGCAGCTTCTGGTCAGAGTAACCATCCAGCTTACAGTAGCGCGACAGGACAGAAGCAAGACTACTTTCAAAAGCTGCAGTTCAAGGTGCTGCAGGCTGAGATCCTTTTGGGGAAGGAGGGGAATAATATTACAGTCCAACAAAAACCTGGCCAGTGAGCCAGCCATTAGGGGAAAGATAAGACAGGAAGAGCTGGAGCTAACTGGTTAGCAGCACTTGAACTTTCAAAACACAAGTGGGCAAGCAGTGGGAAAAATATAGTGGACAAGCGCAATTGCCAACTATTTATTTAAAAAAACAAAACTGTTACTCATCTCTCTCTTATTGAGAGAAATGCCATCTCTGTTTAAACATTGATAAAAAATATATTGGAAACACTGCAGTCCTTCTGCAACTTAATACACAGACCACTGCATGGCAGCATTATTGGGTATTATTTTCTGTACCTAGGCTGTGGCCATTCTTTGTGTAGAAGCAGGTGTTGTTGATGAGGTTAACACAGCAGCCAATCACATCGCCTGTTGTAAACGTGGGTCCATAAGGTTGCCCGGTGCCAGACGAGCAGAAGGAGTGGCCGTCATCTCCATGGTAACCATAAGAGTGCTTGTCCCAACCTGCAGCGATGCAAATGAAAAGTGTGAGAACATGAGGTGAAAAAGTGTTAAAACGCAGCAATTGTTTGAATCTCAGACTCAACACAGAAACACAAAGACAAACACGGACAGACACACACAGCCCATAGGAGGGCTGAATGATAATGGTCAGTCTCACAATATGAATATTCCTACAAACCCACATTAAAAGGTACAGTGCTGTAAAATAATGATATACTTTGCAGCTGATTATTCACACAGAGAAACTTCTTATGGTTGAACACAGTTGTGGGTTAGTTATAGGCAAAGCCTATACACAACTTTACACACACCTCCTCACATGTTGTAGCTTTTACCTGTCACCAAGGGCCAGCGTTACAAACAGTGAGCTCCTCCTACATGTGCTACATGTCAGTATTTATTTACTTATTTATTTGTTTTTAGAAAACCTAAAGCAATACGTCAGTTTAAATTACTCAGCTCTAGGGTCAGAAGTACAATGTGGCCCCTATAAGTATTGTAAATATGACTGAACTAGAAGCATACTGGCACTGATGACACGGGAGATCAAAAAACACAACACACAAATGTTTTCAAAATTTGTTTTGTGACAAATCACACCAAAAGCTACGCTACTGAGGAGGACAACAGTGCTGTGAGCAGGCCGCCAAAATGGTTCGAACGCAGTGTGATTAAACCGGAGAGGCAGCGTCAAAACCTTTATGAAGTAATCTTGCCACTCAGCAGCAATCTTAAAATCCCTCTGGGAACATATTTACGAAGTGTTATTTAAATTACACTTCAATATTAATGGTCACACGTGTAGAATCATCAGTAAAGTCTGATTTAAATACATGCCCTAAAATATGGTCATAAAAGGATTTTCATCTTTGCTTTGGCAGCGTTCTCCCAGATTTCAAGTGGGATTCTCTGAGTGCTGACTCTTTTCTTTTTTTAATCTAATTATTAGATTTCCTCAAATAAGACATGAAATAAAAGCTGTCAAACAACAAAATAGCTGGACCAAGCTGTTTCGTATCTGCTGAAAGTTAAACCCAACTCTAACATTTGTGAGTATTTACAGACATTTCCCTATCACCAAACTTTATTAGGCCAGAAATTCGCATGTTAAGTCTAAAAATAGACATGTGACGTCATAATTCCAACGCTTCAGTAAACGCTGGTGTAATATCATGACCTGGATCAAGAATCACACAGTGCTGAGAGCAGTAGAGCTGAAATATCCTCACTTAAAACAGAAAAAAGGCAGATGTATGTGTCCACACCTTCACCCACAGCCCTGTACCGTGAGCCAGCAAGCACAAACCTGCAAGATTCAATGCCTTGCTCAAGGACACTATGAGAACTGAACCTGGGGAATCGGTATTCTCAATCAGTGGAACAGCTTGCTGTTGCTTTCATGCTGACTGCAGAAAGACATAGCTCATTCAGTTTCTTCCAGAAAACTGGATGTACTCCCAGAATTGGGAGATTTTTGTGTGGCATTTTTAACCTTCAATTCTTTGTTTTGTTTAACCTTCTGCAGACTGCAGGCCATTTTTGATGTGATGCCCCTTATTTCACTGAAAATAAATATTTTTTTGTATTGAGCATAAAATGGAAGAAAGAAAATTACTGATGAGCAAAGGTTTAATGTGAACAGAATACCTGTGTGTATTAAAACCTGGAGTACTCTGTGTTTGCACAGTACTTGTTTCTCAGGGAGACTTAAGGGGATGCAGCCTTTGCTGCAGCACACAGGACTTTGGGGCTGTTTTAACATTAGAAACCATGTGGCAGGATCCAGTGAGTTACTGTCGAGCAGCAGGATTAATCCTGCCGTTTCCACAGTCATCACTGCAGGACAGTACTCAACTCAGCAGCACTCTGGCATCAGTTCTTCACAATAGTTGGGTTGCGGTCACGTGGTTCTGATGACGTGCGGAGGCAGCGCGATTTTTGAGTGGAGGGCGGAAGTAAACATGGAGGACACTGTGGAGAGTCAGGAGAGCAGCTATTGTGCAACTTTAGACCCCGTTTCTCGGGAGAGATATAAACAGATAGTTAAAAAATATATCGGACGTGATCCGTATTCTTTGAAAATGTCCGAATACACCACAGAAGTAAAGGATTTGCCTACTATCGAGGCTGTGGATATCACCAACTACTTGGTCCTCCAGACTTCTTACTACACTAGGCAGCAAATGAAAGCTTTCAAGAGTCTGGAGGCGTACAATTTTTTTGTCAGCGGGTGGGTCCACAACCTTGGAACAAAACGTCTCCGTGATGGATACAGTTTGGTGTTTGCAAGGGTGAGTGTTTGTTCTTATATTGCTTTATCTTAAACACGCTAACAGTTAGCGGTAGCGGCTTTAACGTCAACAAACATGCCACATCCTTAGGACTTCGTTAGAGTGACAGTTGTTTGTTTCAAGGTAAACCATTCTCAGCGGTCTAACGAGACACCTCTGAAGACTTGGGTAATTGCAAAGGAGGATGGAGAAGTGATTGCAGCTCATTGCAATTGTATGGCAGGGTTAGTAGCCTGTTCTCCACTGTCACTAGGCTCAAATCCGGGCTCTCAGCCGTCTGTTGCATATCCAAAATCGCCTCTGCACATCGATGCTGTTCTGCCTTAAGCTTCATTCTTTTCTCTCGTTTGAGAACTGATTCCGATCTGGGTTTTCGTTCGTAGCCGAGATTGACTGTCGGAGCCCAGTCCTCCGACTCTTCGTCATCCAAAGCACTTGGGCAGCCTATAGTCCCAATCAAGTCAATATTAGACTACTAACTTAAAAGCACTAAGTAAACGAGAATTTAACGACAACCTAATGCTAATAAGTTCGTTTGCAAACATAACATTACCTCTGACGAAGTGGTCGCTGCAGACACGGGCATTGGCAGACTCTGCTCCTCCCGACTGTAAACGTAAATTTAAAATCCATTTTTTCCTACGTTTTTCGGTTAGAATTTTCCATTTTTCTCCTCTTCGTTGGGCTATTTTTGGTACCCTAAAATACCGTTTATCAGTTTCTCTGGTCGACCTACTGGAGCATCCGTAAACACAACAGGACATAGGCATTTTGCGTACTGTCTGTCTGTGATTTTGCGCTTATCTTTTTCACTTCCGACCGCCAGTCAAATTTCGCGCTTTACGTCGACGTCACGTCTACGTCAAATGAAACCTAGCTATTACTGAGTTTTCATTAGCATCTATCCATCAGCTGAGACTGTGCGGTTGGCACTAGGCCTGCTGTTATCTTTGTGTGAAGAGACTGGAGCTCCTGGGTGGGTCCAGCTTTCAAACTGGTGGTGGGGTATCTGGGGTCCTGTTTGGCCTGATAACCTCAGGGGAGCGTAGGGTTGACGTCTGCAGCGTCCAATTAATGATGATATTCATGACATTTTATTGTACCATCAACATTCACTACCTCGTGTGTTGGTTTCTGACTTCACTAAAACATTGAAGCAGCTCAAAAAAAATCCAAAACAACAACTTTATTACACCTAATTGCACAAGTGTTTAAAAAAAAGTTCTTGTTCCAACAATCATGGATACGAGTTAATGATTGAGTGCATACACTGAGAATGCTTTTAAGCACAACACTTGTGTAATCAACAGACAACGAAAAAAAAAAATACTGGAAGGGAGCATGACAAAGGTCAAACATCACCTTAGGATATACTGATTACACAGTGATAATCTTAAACTTTCCACCCACCAGAGGCCTGTGCTTCGCAGAAAACTGAGGTTAGCGGGGGGGGGGGGGGGGGGGGGGGGCAACATGTCCTCCACAGCCTCACAGGAAAAATATATTTATATGAATAAATAATTACAAATATAAAATAAAAATTTCAGCTACTGATCGTGTTTATTCATAGGCTGGTGTTTATGTTGGTAATATCTGCTTTTGTATAATTTATGAGCTTTTAAATAATTAGTTAACAGACTTATTTCTTATGACATCCTTTTTGGCAGTTTCATCAAAGTTAAGATGCTTTAGGCCACTATGAGCAAACTAACGAGAAATCTTCATTTAGCCACTTTCGATATGCCGACACAACACCTTGGCCTGAACTATACATAAAAGCTCAGTAGAGTATTCATCCTTGCTCCTCACTCAAGAGCTACACAACACATTACTGAGATCTCTGGATATAAACCCTTTGGCTTGTCCTGACAGGTATCAATTCTCAACATATGAACTTAGCTTCAATTTTTCCATGCTGGTTGCAACCAATTTCAATTTTATTTCATTTTTCTATAAGCCTTTGTATAGCAACATAATCCTAAAACAGGTTGACTAAAACGTTAAAGCCTTGTTGACCTTATAGAAGATTTCCCAGTAAGCCTACGTAAGGATCTGAATTGTGTTTTTTATATTACTTGTTTTTCTTTTTTTTCTCAAACTAACAACCACAATGAACAGACTCAGTCACGGCTCCAACCAGTTTATCCAAATCTAATCTCTAGTAGTTATGTTCAGACAAGATGACACCCACAGAAATCCCAGACATATCTAGTGTAGAATATAACAGATAAAGACACCAAAAGACAGCAGCAACAAATGCACAAAATATGTCAACTTACCAGGGAGTCTGTTCATGTTTACACCCTGAGCTGAGAGGCCGATACCCATGTACCTGTAGGACAGACAGGCGAGAGTTAAGCTGTGCGTTTATGCAGAAAGAGACTGAAGAAGCCATTTTACACATGTAAGCTGAAGTCAATCATACCACAGACAGACATGGCTCATGTCAAGCTACATTCAACACGGTAAACACCAATTTCTCACATACGTAATCTCTTCAAAATGGTGTCTGTCTAATTAGGTTAATGTCATTTATTTTTTAATAATTTAAGTTCATGACAAGGGCTACCATAACATTGTTCAATGAGGGCAAAAGCTAACATTAATGTGGTTATTGATGAGTAACAGAAATTATTACAATTCAATGTCATGGGATTGTAAATGTAGTCACCAGATCTGAAGTTAAAAAAAAAAAAAAAAAAAGAAAAAAAAAAACATAGAACATTTCATTTAGTAATGAAGAGAATGAAGCTGCCACTGATTTATATATCAAGTTTTTTCATTGCATGGCTGATCTATGCAAAAATTGCAAACCCCTACAAATTTGGCATCCTCAAAAAAGGCTATAAACAAAGGAATATTCAACACACACAATGTAATGAAGTTGTTTTTTTTAATATACACATTTTGTTAACTTAATTGAACATATTATAATTTTGTTTCCCCCAAAAAGATCTACCTTTGTGGTATGAACACCCCCCCCCCCTCCATTGGCTCATTCTGAGCCAAGAAAACAGATTTAGATGTATTTTTCTGGCACATTTAAAGCAATCATTTACCAAATCCTATTTCTTATATTTGAATTCAAAAATTATTACTTGAAATAATGAAAACAGCAGAATAATCACAAGTTAGTAGAGATGCATGCATTTCTCTCTGATTGTAGTGCTGGAGTGACAGAGTAATTGAGATGTAAAGCAAAGCTGCTAGTCCAACTATGTTCTAAAAACCACTTCTGAAAATGTTTTAAACATTTGAACTTCTGAAACACATATTTATCCTTGTGTGTTCCAAACACCATTATAGAAATTCAGTTAAATGTGAACACTTTTTTACTTATCTGGGGTCAAGCATGACCAACTGGTTACAAACAACCAGGGAATGCCTGATGTCTTACGAATGAACCTGAGGCACTTTGAAGATTTTAATCATGTTCATTATTTTGCGGTCTTCTCGTACGAATTTCTAAAATCCTTTTTGATGTAAAGGACATGTGGTACCTAAACATGATGATGTGTGACTTTTAAGATAATGGATATCCAAAGAATTCATTACAGTTTACAGGCTGGAGTCTTGAACAGTTAGAAAATAATTTCCTAAATATTTTTTATGAAATTATTTAGGAAGTTTTACAAAGACGCTCCCAAACATGGCCATTTAGACCCTTTAAGAATTTTAGGCATGACCCAAAGGAGAATAAAAGGAGAATAAAAATGAATTTAACTGGAGGACATAATTTAAATCATTTCTGATTGAACACAAAACAATGTAAGAGGAAAAAAAAAAATCAGGACTTTCTAGAGAAGAGAAACTGAACTGCTTTATCTCAACCTCCCACTCTCATAGGACCAAACAACAATTACACTCCACAAGGCAAAACGCTGCAGGATTATGGCTCATGTAAACCCAGATTAGACTTGTCACTTATTTGGACTTTATGCTTTCAGCAACTATTCACTTTGTAAAAAAAACAACAACAAAAGGTTTATCATTCCCAATGAGAAGTTCATCAGTCATGATAAATGAGTGTCACAGGCATGACTGAGGGAAAACCAAAAACAACCACAAAACAGAAAAAGCTGTTCTTTCATTTTCTCAACCTCACATGCCTTAGCATACTCTCCAACAAAGAAA